TACTCTCCTCACATCGACCTTCCCACCCATATTATCAACCCAAAGTCCCGTAATTGGTCCATCGGGAAGCTTGTGTAGCACCTTTAAGTATTTCTCTTCTTTCCTGTAGAACTCGGTCGAAGTTTCAATAAACGTTTCGTATATATTTCCATCGGAGGCCCCTATGAGGATCTCTCGTGTCGTAGCTGTTGGCAGAGACGGGTTCCAAGCTACGGACTCGACAGAGACTCCGCGCAACCTACTTAGGGGCCGAGGCTGGCGTGACTGGGTGTGTAGGTAATAGTTCTCGCCGAGAGAAGTACATATGAGCAGGTGGGAGGCCGTGGGGTCAAGGAACATGCGCCGGATGGTGCCTACTTCGGAAACTCGCCTAGGAAGGTCGATATCTACGAGTAGCTTCTGTCAATAACATTCTAATGCTTAAGTTAAGCCTCTATACCAGCTCACCATCTATATCTTCCGGTCGGTTTAAATCGATGCGCAATATGCGCCCATTAGACAAGGCTAGGACAAGCACATTATTGGCAACCTGGGCAGCGACAAAGTCGGCGGCGATGGAGAATTGGAGTTGTACCGGTTCGACATCGAATAAAGGTAAACTCTCGACGGTAAGGTCGTGCACGCCGTTGGCGGCAACAAAGCCTTTGGTTGCTTCTAGCGACATCTGGAAATCTATTTGGTCATATTGGAGAGGCTGAGTCGCGACAGGCTGACAGGTCGCAAAGCTGTCTGTTGGTCGTGGTTATATAGTGTTAGGCAGTGGTAACCTTTATTTAAGATCCAAGCTCACTGGAGTTGTTGGAGTTGATGGGAGCTCAGCGGTATTGTACATGTTTAGGTACCTAACCTTAGGTACATGTACCTATTAGTTAGGTGGTACCGGCTTAATAGGTGTTGTACAACAAAGCGAGTCAGAGCTATCCGGACTATGCAAGTACCTAGGTAGTGCAGCAATGATGTAACTTTAAAGCAGCTGAGCTGGGCACTTAAACCATGTGATAACCTTAGGAAGCGCCTCAAGATTGACATCACATCTATTTTAGTAGTATACATACATGTATGAGGTATATATTTATATTATTTCGAAAGGTTTAATTCGCAGTATCGCAAAAGTCAAGTTCAAGAAATAGCCTATAATCTTTGGGCTTCAAATTGCTAACTACCTAACATATGTAGTTGATGATAATCTTAAAGAGCTTATTGCTCGTAAGTAATAGACCGCAACAGCAACAATGCGGCTACAAACAGATGGGTAGATATATACAGGGTCTTATTTTGACCCAGTCTACCTTTTTATATACCCGAAATCTCAAACCTCAAATATCCTGATATCCTCCATATCCTATACCTCCCTATACCCTATTCACAAAATAACCCGAGACTCAAGCTAAATTTACCCAGCCTATATATTCCTCCAGTTTCTGCATAGTTAGACGTTAAAAGTTATATATCCATGTCGAAGTTGTTCTTGTTACCCGTAGAGGCACGGATAACTTAAATCTTTACCGATGAGATGGGTATTGGACTCGGATCTCATTCGATCTGTATTCGTCGGGTTCCGCTAATCTTTTATGTCGAAACTTGTTCACGACTCTCATCGTGACATTGACCATCGTTGACTTCGCGGAATTCCCATACGCTAGCGTTGTCTTTGATGCGCGGAACGGTCTAGATGATCTTGGTGGGTTTCCCCCCTGAGTGATCATCTGCCTTGATCTGACCGCTTCAAATTAAATATTATATCAACGGTGTCGTTATTTTTACCCAATCTTAACATTGCTTCAGTCGGTTGAGCGTCTTGCTTCTAGCCCGAATGAAGCGATTTGCTGTTTGCGACGCTCGTTGGACCACGAGATGGGAATGAGCAAAAGCCGCTTTCTCCGTCCGTTAGACCATCCGTCAGATTACTTTCCTCTGCGTCAGTATCCTCTAATATATCCATATATTTCTCTTGTATCACAGGGATGGGTTCGCGAGACGGTAATCTGGACCATCGGTTGTATGGGCTTGGTTTCCTCCCCTTCAATACTCTGACTTTGGCAACGAATCCCTTCGCTCTTTTGGAGTTGAGTGCCATCGCCATCAGCTCTTCACCGATCTGCTCGCAAGCCAAGCGGACTTGATCTGGTTCCCACCCCTTGTACTTAGTCAGAAGCCTCAGGCATATCGATTCGCATCCGTTCAGCATGGCAAGAAGCCAAAACTTTCCGGTCGAGCCGTCTTCAGTCCTTAGAGGGATAGCGTGCTCGGTCAATTGGACGTCAACATAGCCCGCATTAACCAGAAACCTAGGTTCGAGATGGGCAACGCCACGCGGCCTCCCGTGCATCAAGGCAGCCTCACGGACGTCGTGTAATGCCTTATGTACCAAGGACTCGGGTTCGAAGAATGAGTGAAGATTGCTTATTCCTCGATGATCATCGAAATCCAACACTTCGATCCATCCACCCGGTTTGATACAGTGGAAAGCAGATCGGTAAATATGATGCCAATCGGAAAACGACCCTTGCAGATCCCTTATGTGTACTAAGTCATAGTGATTCGGTGGTCGTTCCCATTCCAGCTCGGCATCGTCTATTTCCCAGAAGATATTCTGCGGAACTCGACGTTCAAAAATATTAGAGATGTCCGTTCCGGTTACTTCGCAGTCGGGATAAAGCTCAGCCATGTCTATGGCCCATTCACCGACGGCAGTGCCAATATCCAGGATGTGGGTAGGCGCTTCTAAAGGCACGCTTGTTAATTCGCCATCGAATGTTTTCAGGTAGACCTGATTCATCAGCTGTAATCGAACCTGCTCGTCGTCGTCGTTTGGCATGTAATATGCGCCGCAATACCGTCGTCCATTTTCCATCACGTAGTTGAGATCCAGTTCGTTGATTGACCGCGTTGAGTTTCTATTAAGGATTAGCATTATTCGTTACACTATTGTCGGTCTTGAGGTGAGCTTACACGGTCCCGTCTTCTACACTACCTTCGCTCTCAAACGAATGCTCCACTCGATACACCACTGCACGGCCACCCGGATGATTGCTTGGGGAATAGATAGAGCCAGCATCGAACTGACTTGCCCTCGTCTCATCATTCGCCTCAAAGACATGGCCACTCGGTTCCACAACACTCATCGTCCACGCACTTAAACCGTCGCTTGTGACATCTTCGGTGGAGATGTCGTCGTCCAGCTCCGGCACAGGAAGCTCGGAGCTAACTACGCTACGGCCTGTTTCGGTACTAGGGGGACCGATAGACGAGCTGGCGGCACTAGTCCCATACGACGGCATGATTGCTGCTGGTACACGCGATGCCTTAACCTGTCCTTCGTCGCTTGTCCTTCTCTTCCTTTTCATCACAGTCGCACTAGAGGATTCTTAGCTGCTGATGAGGCATTTGGTCGCACAATTCTTCCTTCCCTAGCTCTTCCGATGAAATCTTACGGACTACCGACGTCTCCGTAAACCGTGCGGCCCAGAGATGGATGCGTAAGCGAAGGGGCACCTCTGTCTGACGCAGCGCTTAAGAAACTGATCTCTAGAATATTTAGCCAGTGAGGAGTTCGTAGAGGATCCGATGCCGGATACATTGGCGAACAAAGACTGTCCACGGAGTGCGCATATACAAGTTTACGATCGTCACTTTAATTCGCTTCGAGCATAGGGAAAAATAAAAAATAAAAATAAAATAAAAACAGCCACTACGCAGGGCTTAGGCAGCGTAGCGGGATGATGGGACTAGACCGTTTTACAAGTTGGAGGAAATGGGCCACGAGAGAAATATGTTAACGATTGGCTACCGACTTGATCACCACCCAGACAACATCTACAAAGTAAGAGAATATACGGATCCGTAGTTGGGGGGCAACTCCTTCGATCCAATAAGCGGTCTGCCTCATTACTGTAACGTGGAGTCGTAGACAAGGGAATGAACCACATGGTCATTGCACCCATGCCAGTGGGATCCTCCCCTATTCCCTATTCTATATTCGCCCTGCACAAACATTATACATATATGTCTAGGTATGTACGTATATGTATCTGTACGAAGTATGCATATTGGTATGCAGCCCTTCACCGTGGATGTGGACGACTACAACGCTGAAAATATCGCGCCTTGGAAGAGAGTGTGATTGGTATTGGCTCACGCTTGATATTTACACTACCAGAGCCAAGGGTCCAAGCGTTCATATTCCGGTTCTGTTTGATTGGACCCGAACGGATGGGCAAACCCGTCCGCCCGACCCTGAGGAACCCTGTCATTCTTCACTGGATGATCGGACTTTAAGTGCTTAAAAGGTGCCCAAGCAGCTAAGGTAAGAGAAGTTCACGAGAGGAAGACTCAGCGTATGCATAAATAAATGTACTCATAGCTCTAGTTATGTAAATAGAAACCCGTATCTTCTTCGTCTTATCCCTCCCACTTTTGGCAAGCGACAGAAACGTTGGGTGCATATGCCCTTGCTGGTCAATTGTAAATCCTGGCCTTGGATGTTTTCAATCGAACCATGGACCCCCGGCTGCAGTCGTGATATGCTGGAAGCGATTTCCGATTCGGATGTGCATTGCTAATAATCCCCGAAAATGCCGGATTAAGTAGCCCCGAATAGGAGAGAATTGCAGAATATGATGATATTTCCATGCGTATAAGCATGCAGGTCGAAGCGCGATTAGCAGACCGTTTAACCACAATCTTCACTTACACCTGGACATTAGCACGATATGTTATAGCTAAATTCATTGCAAGCTCTTCATAACCTCTAATCTAACTTTATCGAATACTTGGTGAAAACCATCCGTTCAAGCATCAATGGGAATATTCTTCATGCCGCTTGCATCTTCTTCCGTCTATGGCGCTACCTAAAACGGCGCCTTCTATAACCCAAAGTCTTGGGGTTCGTTGCGCAGAACAACCCCAATTCCCATCATTACATTTTTCCTTAGAATAGTGCCGGATAACCTATGGAGGTTCTTGCGCCCATCTAGAACCAGACTCCAGTCGTATAACCATTATCCAGGCAACTTCCGTTTCTTTGGTAACTGAGGCTCGTCACAAATCTCTTCTTTGTCGGATACCACTTCAGCTTCAACGACAATCGGAAAAGGGCTGAGAACTTTGCTAATGTCACCCCACCATTCTTCGCCGAACTGTTTATACCAGTCAACAGTGGTCTTTAACCCATCGGCGAAAGAAGTCTTCTGATCCCAACCGAGATGTCGAAGTTTAGTAGCGTCGATGGCGTATCTATGATCGTTGAATGGTCTATCATGCGTATATTTAACCCACTTGTTGAAGTCTTCTTGACTCTCATGAGGGATGCCCATCTCTTTCAACACCATTTTACAGAGCTCAATGTTAGAAATCTCGTCGTGTGATCCTACATTATAGACCTGGCCGAGAGTGCCTTTATGTAGGATCGTATCAAACGCATCAGCCGCATCGCCAGCATATAAATATCTTCGGGTAGGGCTCCCATCGCCGTGGAGCACTGTCGGCCTCTGTCGATTCAACAAGCAGATGAATTTAGGAATTATTTCTGTTTCGTAGTAAGTTATGCGTGTGTTCTCGCGTATTGTCTGAATCTGTTTCTTACTTTCGGGGAATTGATGTGGGCCGTAGACGTTATTGCTTCTGACAATAATGACCGGAAGTTTGAAACTCTTCATATAAGAGTTTACAAGCATTTCGGCGGCGGCTTTGCTCGCGGCGTAAGGATTAGTTGGAGATAGAATACTCGCTTCCGTTAGGTCATCATCGTCATCTTTTACCTCGCCATATACTTCATCAGTAGATATGTGAATAAATCTCTTCACTCCAACCTTCTTCGCGCTCTCCAGCATAACATGAGTACCGTACACGTTCGTGTGAGTAAATCCATATGAGTTCCCGAAGCTCAAGTCGACGTGTGACTGAGCTGCAAAATGGAATATAGTGTCGATGTTGAAGCGCTCCATACAATCGAGCACTTCGGAAGGGTTGGTGATATCTCCATGGTAGAACGTAAAGTTTCGCTTATCATTAAGCATACGGGTGTTGTTCAACGATGAACAATAATCTAGTTTATCAAAGGACACAATATTGTAGGCTTCGGGGTAGGTCAAGGTGAGATGACGGACGAACCAACAAGCTCTTCGGTCATTCATTAGCCGCAATGTGGAACCTTGAGGCTCACGAAAACTTACATAAAGCCGGCACCGCCAGTGATCATAATATTCTTGACATCCGGTAAGGTCTCAAACTTTGTGGACCCGGTCAATACAGGAGCCTGCTTCCAAATTCCATAATCCTCGAAGAACCTAGGCTTCGTGGTCTTATTATTAGGAGCTAAATACGCAAAATGGTAAGCTATCTTGGTCAACATCGGATGACGTTGCGGGCAAGCACTTACACTGCACCCCATTGGTGCCGTTTAGGCGTGGCGCGGTCATAGCGTACAGAATGAGAACCCAGAAATTCGCCGGTGGATCAGTCCGAAGCTCGAAAAGTGTATGAATGTTCTTTAGGATCCTTTGAATAAGAGTTCGGGCGTGTAATATGATCTGGATAATTAAGAGAAATGTGTAACAAGGTCCGTTCTTTTCTTCGTCTGGTACAGGAGGGTTTCCGGGGTGGACAGATATCCAGATGCAGATCTTTTGAACAGCCGGTTGCAAATCGCAAGTCGCAAGTCGCAAATCTCAAGTTGCAACTCGACGCAAGACAGTCTTTAGCCTGTCCGACACCTAAATCCCAGGAACCGGGAAGGAAATGCGCCAACGCAAGAGCAGCTAGGTTATACCCATACGATTAGTCTGAGATTCGGCCATCTGTGAACGTGTATATAGGTAGAAGTATACGTTAGACGATAGGTCGATAAGACCTAGCTTAGAAGTGTAGTCCGACTAAGAGATCTGGCAATAGATATTATACCTTGCTATACTCGACATAAAGACGCAATAGCCGACTTATGGTCGAACCTCGTAAAAAGGATGGCTGTATCATGAACAAATCTCGCCAGTCTAGACAAGTTTACATATTGAAAACAAATCGATCAAGTTGAAATTAATGACAGCGTGCGTCTTGAACATTTTAAGATAATTTAACAAGATTAACAAGACTTGTTGATCGGCAGCGATCGGCCATGAGGTTAAGCAGGTACACAGGGCAACTTTGTAGCACATAGACCCACATGCAGCCCGCCGGACCACGACGTAATGTACGGTACCTGAGTACTTACGTGTAAGTAACAATATTAAACATTGAAACTCTTAATCAACATACCAGCATATCAATGTCAAATTGTCAATGCTATTTGTTATATAAGTCATAGCAGGTAAATATATCAAACCGTCTAGGTCCTTAGCTTACGTGTCGTAATTACAAGATGTCCAGGTGAGAATTGAGTTGGTATGACCAAATCGTATATTCATATCTCGCCTGCTCTCCCATTACTAATTATAGGTAACTATGGCAATCACCATCCTTCTTTAGCCCACGTCGTGACACCCTCGGCCCAAGTGTAGCACTTACCCACTGTTTATGGTAGGCAAAGGTAAGTCATTAAGCGTCCATTATTCTCCGGGGCAAGATCAAACACCCAGATTGCGATGCTTCAACAAAGTATCCGTAGCGCCGGGTCTTTATATGCAGATATGCATATATTGAACATGTGTGATAGTTGAAGTCCCAATTACCTGTCCTATGTAGGTAGAGATATATAGCTATACCTCTTTCTTACACATTAGAATTTCGTCAGAACAACTAATAATATCATCCTATAGATAGGCTTACCCAACCTCAAGGAAGCCTATATCCCGTAAGTACATATATAGGTGGCTTGCATGGTGCTGTTTGCTATCTCCCGTCTTATATCGTCATGCTTGCTATCATTGCTAGAAGTTAATTAGATCAGCCTTAGATAAACCTACCTCAGCATATGTACAATAAAATGATTGGTGAATTGATTGGGAGATGACAACATTGGGGTAAGAAAGTACCTCATTAATGGATGTTTTTTGTTTCCAATCATGGGAAAGTGCATGTAAGTTGATACAACGAAAGTTTGTACCTCTATTACATCAAGAGAGGTAGGTACCTACAGTTGCAGCACCCCTTATCCAACAGTTCAAACGTAATTCAGGTCCATTTATTAAGTCCAATGCCAATCCTGCATCCCATTATCCTGTAATTCAAACGAGTCGGCTGCTCGGCACCCCCCTTGTAACACGCGACTTAAACAGGTTATCTCATTAGGTACCTCTTGGGAAGCCAAGGTTATGTACCTAAGTACACACTGGAAGCTTCATTTTTTTAAGTTCTCCATGCTAGGCACGTAAAGTTTAGTGGACTCCACGTTCCGTTCCCGCCTGGCGATCGGCTGAAATAGCAGCTAAAATAGCAGCCAGTGCGACCAAACCACTAATGTTCAATCGGGTTGGATCTATCTTCGTTCTGGAATCTGTCCATCGTCACTAAAATTTGGTCATCTTGCATTTCGAGGACAAGAGGATACCCTTACATCTTTTCTTTTACTATTGAGCACACTGGTATTCCTCTCCACATGCTTAGATCTACCAACTGTGGGTGACGGGAACTTGGGCAGGTCCCGTCACATGTCTTGCGCCGCTCAATATGGCATCTTTAAGTGGTCACCCTGCACGGCCCCCATCCGCTGCTTCGTCGTCCACGGTGAATCCAATCGAGAATGAAGGATTCGGCAGTTTCGATGGCGCTGATAGTGATTACAAGTCTCAGCACATAGCTACAGGCGAAGATAATGCTAAAGGCATCGAGGAAGGTGGTGGACTACTGGAGAAAAGAATGGACTACCAAGCTACCCAGAGTCCCCCAAAGAGTCGTTTTGGCTGGGCTGTTTTCTGGATAGTAGTAAACACTCTAGCGACGATAGGCATTGTATGCATTCCCTCTCGTTTCTATCTTGCGTGTATAACTAAATTATATAATCCCCTAGGTTTTCACAAACAAGGCCATCTTCTCGGATCCGTCTTTGAAGCTTGCGCAGTTAACATTTGCTGCTTTTCACTTCTTTATGACGTGGTTACTTCTCTTCACGTTATCGCGGCCTCGTTTCGCGTACTTTAATCCTCGCCGTATTGCTCTGCGAGATATCGTTCCCCTCTCTGTCGCCATGTCGTTGAACGTTATTCTTCCAAATCTGTCGTTAGCCTTCTCTTCCATTACTTTCTATCAAGTTGCGCGCATTCTGCTTACTCCGACTGTTGCAACTATGGATCTTATTTTATATAGGTCCATGTTGCCTCGAAATGCCATTCTAGCTCTTATCCCTGCTTGCTTAGGTGTTGGTATGGTTTCTTACTATGACTCGCTCCCGACAAATGACGCCAATGTAAAGAGCACGTCAAGTTTAGGCGTGATGTTCGCCTTTAGTGGTATATTTGCTTCGTCGCTATATACGGTATGGATCAAAAGCTACCAGCGGAAGCTAAAAGTGTCGAGTATGCAACTACTCTTCAACCAGGCGCCCGTTTCAGCATTCCTCCTACTTTATGCTATTCCTTTCGTGGATACGTTCCCTACCTGGACGGAAGTCCCGATGGCTCGGTGGTTCATGATATTGACGGTAAGATGAAGAGAAATATGTAATATCGAAGTTTGTGCTAATATCACAGTCTGGCGTATTTGCCGCTTTGATTAACCTGTCACAATTTTTCATTATCGGACAAACAGGTCCAGTTTCGAGTACTGTTGTCGGACATCTAAAAACATGCCTCATAGTGGCACTAGGCTGGGCTACATCTGGCAGGTCTGTTGGTGACAAATCAGTCATAGGCGTCTTTATTGCGATAGGAGGGATTGTCACGTAGGTTGACATGAATTTTCTAAACATTGATTGCGATTTGCTAAATATGACTTAGGTATTCAGTTGTGATGCTACGGCAGGCAACTCGCGGTTAAAGGCAGCGCAATACCAAAGGGGGTTATCGTTCCGTGCGGCAGCTAGGAAAATAAAGCTGCAATTCCAATGGGCTACCAGAAGCTCATATATTATTAGATCATATGGTTCTAGGCGTTATGATGGTATAAGGAAGGCCTTTACGATCGGCGTGGTAGTATTTGTTAGTAGGTTCCGATGCTGCTTAAAGGCGTTCGTAAGGTTCCCGAGGGAATTGCGATAAACGGATGTACAATACGATACCCATCATACACGGAAGTGTTGGTTAAGATATTAGAGCAGCATGAAATAGACAGCAGTTATGCTTCTTGGATATTATAGTATCTTCCCGTATTTTTCTCATCTCTGGAATTACAACGGCAATGCATCCCAGCAAGGCAGCTAGCTGGTCATAAGCTAAAGATACCTAGGTTATAAATCAAAAGCTAAGCGTGTAGGCAAATTGATCCGTCGACTCGGAGGAGGCTGGCGGTTTCCGGGATTAATACCCTTTCGGTGAGTCCGGTGGGAGTCTACGTAGGTAGATACCTAAGTTCTATAGTTGAGAGCCCAGATTGTATTGATATAACCCTAGCTTAGTATCTACATATGCTGATGGTCACGCGAATATGGCACTAAATCGCCAATGTCAAATTCTCAATATTTTCCAACGCTCTTCGCTGAACCTTGAAGCCCATCTTCTTCGTGGCGATGCGCATTGGCATCGATCACAATGAAAATAAAAGGACAGTAAAAATTCCACTCGCTACGATCCACGAGGGATAATAGAAGAGGGTCAACTCCGCGCTGTACAATACAGGTTTCTCCCTTTAAGAATCTTCATTCTTGAGCGAAAATTCTTCGAACAAGGTAAATACTCGTGCCACGCCCCACTTAATTCTGGTTTCGCAAACGTATACCAATCTTAACTAATACTTACCACCATTATCCATATACCACAATTATCCTTAAATTATATAATATATTTAATTAAAATCGCTTTAAATATTTAACCTTTTTATTTAATTCGTATATAATTATTAATTTAAACTTATTAATTAATTATTATTATTTAACTTTTTTTATAATTTTAAAATAATATTTTTTATAAAAATTTCGTATTTTTAATTCGGTAACTTTAATTAATTTTTTTATTTTCTTAAAAACTTTATTATTTTTTTACTTTATTATAACACATTTTTCGGTTATAATTAATATACCTTTAATTTATAAAAAGTTATTTTTTATAATTTTATAAATTTTTTATATTCGTTTAATATATTTAATTTTATTTAAATCCTTTTTAATTTATATTAATTTAATTATATTAAAAACGTTTTTTTTTATAAAATAATTAATATTTTTTATTATTTTTAATATAATAATAAAATTTAATTAAATAATAATTTTAATTTTATTTATAATATAATATATTTAATAAAATATTATAAATATATTTATTAATAAAAAACTTAATAATAAATTAAAAAAAAATATCTTTTTTATTATATGTTTTTTAATAATGTTAAAAATTATTTAAAAATTAAAAAAATAAATATTAATTTTTTTAAATATTAATTTAATTATACTTTTTTTAAAAATTTATATTTATATATTTTATATATAATTAAAAAATTTAATTTTAATAATATTAATAAAATTATTTCGTACCATTAAATTTAACGTTTTTATATAATAATATTTTAAAAGTTAAAATATAATAACGTTTAATAATTAAAATAAATACGTTAAATTAAAAAGTATTTTAAAAAAAATTATATTATAATTATTATAATATTTAATAAATTTAATTGTATAATAAGATTTATAACCGTTAAATATTAATAATTTTTTTTTATTAATAATAATATTTTTAATATATTTTTTAAAATATTTTAATTATTTTAAAGTAATTTTATTATTTATATAACCATTAATAAAAAGAGCATTGTTATCCGGGCTATGCTCCAATTGATATCCGGGCTATGTCTCAATTTTTGGTGGGATCACGTGACCACCCCGCACTCCTGAGCCAATCAACTTACACCATTTTAACCTGTAACCATATACACATACCGATACATACTTACTCATCTTTCAATTCGAATAACTTTACGAATTCGCATCCGCGCTTCTTGAAACATACATCATTAAATAGCCCGTAAAATAAGAAGAATAATGGTCCCGGGCGCATTATGGTGGCTATTTTATTCGATTTGATATGTGGGAGTAAAGGTGTGTACAATAATGTAAGACCTCGATCATGTGACACCATTCGTGTCACTGGATACCCAATACCCACCATTGCAAGACGTTCAGTGCCGCATATAAAATCGGATAAAATAGCCACCACGATGCGCCCGGGACCATTATTTTTCTTATTTTACAGGCTATCTAATGATATATGTTTCAGATTGGGCGATGAGGGACTCGTAAAGTTATTCGAATTGAAAGATAAGTATGGCGGTATTAATATGTCTGTCATATACATTAGTGTATATTGCGGTATGTGAGGGGTACGTACCTTCTTATCGGATGACTTTAAGAGGTTTGATTGGTTAAAAAGGTGCGGGGTGGTATCACGTGACCGCGAAAGTACGTATCATAGCCCGGATATCAATTAGAGCCTTAATAAAAAATATAATAATTATATTATTATAAAAATTAATTTATTAATATTAAAAAATTATATATAATTATTTTATTAATATAAAAAATATTAATATATATTTATTAATAATATTAATAACTTTTATAACCGTATAAAATTTATAATTTTTAAATAAATTAAAATAATAAATTCTTTTTTATTTAATAATAATTAATTAATTTTTTTTTATTTATTTAAAAATTTATTTTATTTATATTTTATATATTATTTAATAAAATATTTTTTTTTAATAATTTTTTTTAATTTATTATAATAAACTTTAATTTTATTAATATTTTTAAAAGTTTTTTAATCGGTATTAAAAATCTTTTAAATATATTTTAAATAATTATAACGTTTAATAAAATGGATAATTTAATTTTTTTTTATTAATAATAAAATCTTTTTAAATAATAATAATTTTTTTTTTAAAATATAATTTACTGCGTTAATAATAAATTTAATTTATATAATAAAATTTATTAAAATATTATTAATAAATAATCTTTATTAATTAATTTATATATAAAGTTATTTAATATAATAATAAAGTTTATTAATTTTAATTAATATTTATATATTTTTATAAAGTAATTAATTACGTAATTAATTTTTTTTTATATAATAATTAATATATTATTTTTTAAAAATATTTTTATTTTTAAATATTATTTTTTATATATAAACTTTATTTTTTTAATATTAATTAATAATTAATTAAATAATTATAAATAATTAAAAATTTTATTAAAAATAAATAAATTTATTTTTAAAATATTTAAAATAAAAAAAGTTAAATATATTTATTTTTAAAATATTTAAAATTATTTTAAAATTATTTAATTATAATAATTAATAAATAATTTTTAAACGTTATATATATTAAATATTATATAATAATAATTTATATTTATTATATATAAAAAAACTTTTTTTTTAATATTTTTATTATTAATTATTAACTTTATTTTTATATATTTTTATTATTTATTTAATTATTTAAAATAATAAAAATTATTATTAATTATATTAATTTTAAATATAAAAATAATTATATAAATTTTTTAAAATTTATAAAAAATTTTAAAAATATTAAAAAAATATTAATATTAATATTTATTAAAATTTTTAAAAACAATATTAGTTTAATAATAAAAGGGGCTTTATTTAAATAATAGTTATAACCTCCCGTTATAACCGGGGATTACGTAAAAGTTACATAAATATTATATATATTTTTACATAAATTTATTAAGTTACGCATATATCTTTTATAATAATCTTATATAATCTTAAATAATCTTTTAAAATACACTTAACTTTATTATATAATTTAATCTTTATTAATTAATTAATTAAATAACTTTATATATATATATATATATATATATATATATATATATATATTTAAACTTTATTTTTAACCTTTTTACTTTATAATACTTAAATATAATTATACGATTTTTACTTAATATATATAATTAATTAAAATTAATTAAATAAAATATTTTAACCTTACGTTATAATTAAATTAAATTAAATTAATTTAATTAAATTAAATAAAAAGTTATAAAATAAAATACGAAATAAAGGTATTATTAAACGGTATAAAATTAAATTAATAAAAAGGCACATATTTAAGTTAAAAAATATTATAAGAATTATAATATATATTTAAATAAAATAAATATAAGGTATAAAAATATATTAAAAAAATTATATAGTAAAAGACGTACTTATGGTTTACCCCATTTAAGTTATGGTTACTGCTTAAATAAGGCCCTTTTTACTACCGAGTTAATGTTACTTTTATTAAATAAAATATTATTATAATATTTAAAAATGAGTAATATTAACTCGGTAATAAAAGGGGCTTTATTTAAGCAGTAACCATAGCTTAAATAAGGTAAACTACAAGTATATCCCTTATTATATAATTTTTTTAATATATTTTTATACCTTATATTTATTTTATTTAAATATACATTATAATTTTTATAACGTTTTTTAACCTAAATATACGCCTTTTTATTAACTTAATTTTATACCGTTTAATAATATCTTTATTTTATACCTTATTTTATAACCTTTTATTTAATTTAATTAAATCGATTTAATTTAATTTAATTATAACGTAAAATTAAAATATTTTATTTAATTAATTTTAATTAATTATATATATTAAATAAAAATCGTACAATTATATTTAAATATTATAAAATAAAAAAGTTAAAAATAAAGCTTAAATATATATATATATATATATATATATATATATATATATATAAAACTATTTAACTAGTTAATTAATAAAAATTAAATTATATAATAAAATTAAATACATCTTAAGAAATTGCCTAAGATTACGTAAGGTTACTATAAAAAATATATACGTAATTTAATAAATTTATATAAAAATATATATAATATTTATATAACTCCCGCATAATCCCCGGTTATAATAAAAAATTATAACTATTACCTAAATAAAACCCCTTTTATTATTAAACTAATATTATTCTTTAATAATTACTTTTAAAAAACCTTTAAAAATAATTTTTAAAATTAAATAATAAATTATTTTAAATTTATTAATATTAATTTTTTAAATTTAATTTATATTTATTTTAAAACTTATAAAATAACTTTTTTAAAAATTAAAAATAAAATATATTATTAAATTA